TCGCTGACAGTCGGCCATTTATAAGCACTGCTTGCTGACTATCAACCGAGATGTGTGGTGTCTCCCCGCAAGCGGCGTATAATGTTGTCCACGTCTAATGCAACACGTGGAATACCCGACATTTTATCACGTCAACGCTACGAATTACGTGAGTGGCGCGTCAACGATTTTTCATGCAGATCGCAACCCTTTTTTTCTACATTCCCTCTCGGGTTTAAGTGCGTATTTAATGTGCTTCTATTCAGAGTCCTTGAACAACCTCTTTGCGTTAAGGGTTTTTCACTGAACTAGTTAGAAATCGCACAAGTCGCGGCTCATTCTACTAGGCCCGGCCACACATTCAAATTTGATGAAGCCGAAATTCTCATGGGAGGTGACAATCGTGTGAGTCGCGAGCTCGTGGTTTACAAGTGTAATGACCTACCCAGTCTATGTTCGGTGTTGAGGCTCACTTTGGCCAAAGCACTTCGTCACTCTGAAAGCGCACAGGCGAAAGCGTCTTCTAACGTCAGCGCTAGGGAGCCAGATGGCTGAGCAATCATCCCGCCAAACTCTAGCACGCGTGATGGAAGTTTACGAATGAATGAGAACGTCCGATTTCCAGGTATTTGCATGCTTGAAGTTGAAGGAAGGTCGAATGGGTTGATGGAAGTTTCCCAGGTCATCACCCGCACGCTGTCCATCAAGCAATTAGCGCACAAGCGGGCAACTATTCTCGATAGGGGGGCGTCTTTAATTGTCGAGGGTAGGCCGTAGCATAGCGACTGCAACTTCCTGTGCATGAAATATCTGCTGTCGTTTCTGGTGATCAATACGCGACAGAATCTGAAACTTCAGGCCAATAAGATTAATCACATCTGCTTCTTCTCAAAACGCACAATATTAAGCTCCCTCTTCCGTTGCCGCTTCTCAGTCCTCAACGAATATCCTTGATATACCTATGTCGTGTCTCGGCATTTTGAACGATTCGCTCCAACCATTAAACTCTAGCAGTCATAATCCACCTCTCCTAACAGCCTGCTTCGGAATCGTCAAAGCCACTGTCAGTCAAGGCGAATGCAATCTTCTCCTGTATAGAAGCAAATGGCGGTCTTAAATCAGTTCCCGTTTCCGCTTGCCCTACACTAGGGCTCTGCTTTTAATCCACTTATTATTTTTAAAGATAGCAATAACAGCCAAATTTATTGGATCCATGGCATTTCGAGGGAGCTCTTCAGTTGTTGCCACCAGAGCTAAGGAATATTTGCCTAGCTGGTTAATGAAACAAGAAAACAGAATTCCCCGGTCATTGATTACTGAACATCTGCTAGACATGAACCATTCTGTTGACCCCATATCTTCTTTCCGAGTACTTGTTCGGGCACGAACAACTCGAACCTTACGCTAC